TTGCGCGTGCAGCCACTCGCCTGCTAACGCAGTAGCGTGTCCGCAATGCACGCATTGGCCAGACTGTAGGACCCTGGCTGCCTTCCTTCCTATATGGAAGTGGAAGCCTTTGTTCGCCGCATGTGGGCCTGGCTGCCTTCCTTCCAGTAGCTTCCGGTCGGGCCCCAGTGTCTGCGCCCAGACCCTTCTCTGCAGTTGAGGGCCTGGACCCGATACAGTTGGGCTCACCCACAATTTTCCACACTTTGTCTGTTTTCTGCATTTGCACGGGCCTCCAGGGTAGATACTATGACAATGTCGTTTTCTTCAAGGCCTGTGGGTTGTGGCCACTTCAACATATTCTGCCTCGTCGTCCTCCTCCTCTTCCTCCCCGTCTACCTCCTCCTCCTCCTCTTCCTCCTCTTCTTCCTCCTCCTCCTCTTGCCTCTCTTCATTGTTGTCCTTATCCTCGTCCTGTAGTTCTTCTGCCTTCTCGTCTTCCGCATCATTGTTTCCTGTCGTCGTCCTCCTCTTCCTCCCCGTCTGCCTCCTCCTCCTCCTCCTCCTCCTCCTCTACTTCCTCCTCCTCCTCTTCTTCCTCCTCCTCCTCCTGCCTCTCTTCCTTGTCGTCCTTATCCTCGTCTTGTAGTTCTTCCTCCTTATCTTCCGCATCATCGTTTCCCTTATGTTCGTCGACAATCAATCACAATCAATCAATCAATCCCTAAGGTTTAAATCGAATTAATTGATTCGATTGGATCTTCATTTTCATTCAATCAAGATCCAATCTAATCAATCGATTCGATTGATTGATTGATTGATTGATTGATTGATTGATTGATTGATTGATTGATTGATTGATTGAACTCTCTTCTCCGTCCATGTTTGCAAATCTCCTCTCTCGTTTCCTTCCTAGTTCCCTAATAGAGAAGACCGTAGAAAGAYCGTAGAAAGAAGTGGAGCGCAACTACGGTGTGAGAAGGCGATGAGCAGAAATGAAGGGAAGAGCTAACAACCACATAATGTAGAGAAGGAAATCGCAGATGTAGTCGGGAAACTCCGGATCTGTGGCGACGAAAAAATACCATCAACCGCTCCCCTCTCCTTCCTTCTCCTCCCTCCTTCCCTCCATTCCTGCCCTCCTCATCCTCCTTGTCCTCCTCCCTTTCCTCGTTGTCCTTTTTTGTTGGTGCCCTTCAACCAGCCCTTCAGCAGGTGCTGCGCCATCTGCAACCAGCCCTTCAACACCTGCTACAGCAGCTGCTTCAACCAGCCCTGCAACAGCTGCTCTCTTCCTCCTCCTCATCGTCTCCGTGCTTCCCTCCTCTTCTTCTTTCTTCTCCTCCACCTCCTCTTCTTCGTCCTCTTCCTCCTCCTCCTCATCGTCTCCGTGCTTCCCTCCTCCTCTTCTTCTTCCTCCTCCTTCACCTCCTCTTCTTCGTCCTCCTCCTTCATCTCCTCTTCTTCTTCCTCCTCTTCCTGCTCCTCCTCCTCCTCCTCTTCTTCCTCCTCCACCTCCTCCTCCTCCTCCTCCTCCAACTTTTCTCCTCTTCGTCCTCCTCCTCTTCTTCTTCATCGGTGTCGTCACTACATACGGGGACAGCCCACATGCACCAGGTATGTTCTCTGGCATCCACCCACACCTGCGCCTCCTTCCCTGAAGACCACTATCACCTCAACATCTGCCCTCGCCCCCCTGCAGTCTGACAGCCCGGCTATGGCCGCTTGGCGCCCCGCTGCCCTGCAGCGCCCCCACACCTCTTAACACCCGTGCTCGCCCCAGCCAGCATAGCGCGTGCAGACACTTGCGCTTTATTGTAGTAGCGTGTCCGCATTGCCTACCTAGGCCAGAATGCCTTTCCCTGGCTGGCCTCCTCCCTATATGGGAGTTGCTGCCCTGCTGCTGGACTGTCTGAGCCTGGCCAAGGAAGTTTCTAGTAGCTTCCGGTCGGACTGCAACGTCCATGCCCAGGCTCGCCGGTGGGAGTTGCGCGTGCAGCCACTCGCCTGCTAACGCAGTAGCGTGTCCGCAATGCACGCATTGGCCAGACTGTAGGACCCTGGCTGCCTTCCTTCCTATAT